TGAAACTTGGTCTCTGACATTAATGGAGGAACATAGACTGAGGGTGTTTGATACTGAGGAGAATATTTGGACCGAAGAGAGATGAAGTGACAGGAGGTTGGAGAAAACTGCATAATGAGGAGCTTCATAACTTGTACTCTTCTCCAAGCGCAATTAGAATGATCAAGTCGAGGAGGATGAGATGGGCAGGGCATGTAGCACGCATGGAGCCGAAGTGCAATGCATATAGGATCTCTGGGGGAAAATCAGACGGAAAGACACCACTAGAAAGACCTGGACGTGGATATGAGGATAATATTGAAATGAATCTTAGAGAAGTAGGATGGGGCGGTATCGATTGGATTCATCTGGCGTAGAGTAGAGACAAGTACGGTACTCTTGTGAATACGGTAATGAACCTTCGAATTCAGCAAAATCTTGGGAATTTCTTAAGCAACTGAGCGACTAGCAGCTTCTCAAGAAGCACTCAGCTCCACGGAGTTAGTAAATTAGTTAAGGATGTAGAAATGTGCTAGTAGTTTCACCACATGCCTGTCTGTCTGTCTGTCTGTCTGTCCAGATATAACAACTGAGAGATGCCGAACTGATTTTCATGCAAATTTGTATCGGAGAGTTGTGCTAACAAATGCTGATAAGGGTCAGTTTCGGTTCCAACAGTGGAACTACAGTGAGCGCTTCACATGAAGGCCTAGATGCGTTTCTACGCCCTCCTCGAGTTTAACGCGTTAAACATTTATCACAGCGAAAAATGTTTCGAACAAAACTAAAACACACATTTAATGTCCTATACATTTTCCACGTGCACTATGCTACAATCCGGAAGGTCGCGGGTTCGATTCCCGATGAAATCATTGGATTTTTCAATTGACCTAATCCTTCGAGCCGCACTGTGGCCCTGGGGGTCGACTCATCCTTAACAGAAATGAGTACCGTGAATCTTCCTTGGGTAACGAGCGGCCGGCGCGTAAGGCTGACAACCTTACCGCCATCTGTGAGCCTACTGTCTAGAAAATGTGGGAGCCTCGACGTCTCACAACCCTATGGGCCTCCACGGCCTGTTACAGGGATAGCTTTACCTTTGCCCTGTAAGGCTTATTGTTCTCGAGAGAATCACAGAAATGGGAGCAGACGCGCTGACTCCGTTAGGCGTGTGTACGTTTCCTGAATTTTCGTCCGATGGTTTCAGCCACTGTTGTGCCTCTAAGCGTCATTAATCGCCCTTCATCTGCTGCTACATGTGGTAATAATTTCTACCAATACGAACAGCTTACAACGATATAAAAACCTCAATTTTCTTGAGCGATACATATAAGGCCAACTCATATCGAGAAACACACAGTATTACAAATATGTATTGCAACTATAGTTTTGGAATGTGACGCCGTGTAATGTGGTAGAAATTTAAGGACATTTCACAGGAAGGCAATGCGTCTCTTTCCGGGATTTGCTTTCTTCTTACCGGTTGCTCCCTTACCTAGCTTATTATATTTACCCTGAAGATGGAGGCAGTACTTTGCTTCGAAACTTTGGTAAATTTCTACTAGACCATACGACGTTAGTCACCTCCTCGAAAGCCTTAAATCAATTATTGTGAACAGAATCCGTTGCCTTCCTGTCTTCTATGAAAGAAGACTTATTGTGTATGGGTGTGAAACTTGGTTGACCAAAGTAAGGGATGAATATAGAGTGAGGGTAACTCTGAAATACTTTGTAATGATAGTGTGATAAGATAAACATATATCTTTCTTTACAAGCTAGCCAAAATCTTCAGGTTTTTTGTACGCTGGATTTTGGGACACTGAACGTGTGTGCATTATCAGATATAAGGGAGGTGTGTACCTACTGCTCTGGGCCCTTCACAAAATTGTATTCTCCATCACTGGACACCGAAAGTAATTCTAAGCTTGTGGCAATCGACTTTAACATAATGTACAATATACAGATCTACTGTTTATTATAATGCTGTGACATGACGCCTGAAAGACAGAGTAGTCCATTGCTAGTCAACGGCTCGCTAACACACGTTTCCGTGACAAGCCCCAATAATCCATTGCTAGGCAACGTTTCGGTAAGCACGTTACCGTGGCAATGAATAAACACAGAAAGGCAGAATAACAGAGGAACTATAAGACATGGTGACTTATATTCGGTTCGCCCCGAAATTTTGAAAGAGTTAGTTCCGTTCATTCGAGAGAGTGAGCAGAGAATCTTCGTTCGTCATTCGTCGCAGTGGAAGAGAAGACACTCGTGGTTCAGTAAGGAATGGAGCGAGTCGTGGGCAGTCGCTGGTTGTGATTGTAATCGAAGTGCCAATAAATGCAATCAAGTACCCATTATTATTAGTCACGCCAACCCAGTATACGTGACAATATCTTCCACAGAACACGGTGAATAAAAGTACTTTGCCCCTGCTGGGTATCGAACCGCGATTCCTCTGTCCCCTAACCCGTAATCTAGTCACTACACTACCTAAAACATCCACAACACTTTAGTCAGTTAATTTATTAATGTCCCTTCTAATAGCAGAGAACCATTACAGGCAAGCTCTTAAAATATATAATAAATCTTTATTGTTTACATCATGTCGTGTACTACTTACTATATATTATTATTATTAGACCATCAACACAACAAACTCGTAATAAATAACCCAATATTATTGTATTCATATTAGTTTATTATGTATATTTGCTACATGTTTCGATCCAGCTGGATCATCGTCAGGAAATTTTCATGAAATTCAATTATTCCTAATGTGGACCCATATCAGTGATTGGCACAAACAGAACCACAGAAGGGGAACAACGGCTATGTAACAGCATGAAGGCGCCGCACTCCTATACAAGACACGTTACAGCCGTCACTCAAAGGGAATATGGGAGATAAAACCATTTACACGCGGAAAGCGGCCTCCGTTGTCTAGGGTCGTGGAATTTTTAAGGGCGGAAATATTCAGGGAACAAATCCTCTGGGAGGGACTTTAAGCCGTGGGTCCCGTGTCGTAGATTTACGGCACGTAAAAGATCCTCATGTCTCTAGGAGACCTCTGAGCAAAATTAGGCAAAGTTTCCCGCCCAAGTAGTTTCCAATGCCTCCGGTAGATGGGAAGTATCGGGAACCACTGCCAGCTTCGCTGGCTGAACGGGGCTGATAGCGAGCAGGGTATGGCGACTGGTAGAATATATCAAAGGGGGACGTACAATAGACGATTAGTCGTGGTGCATGGGAAACCCACCCCCTCCAATAATAATAATAATAAAAATACATGCGGAAACCCGCCACGTAATATGTGCAGAGCACTATAAAACGCAGACTCCCACAAAAATCCGTCTGTTCTACGATACATCACAAACTTGTACTTCACGCTAAACACGAAGATAATATTAACTTTTAAGTGAGTTTTATATTTTAAGACTAAAGATAAAAAAGAGAAGTAAAGCTATCTCTGTAAGAGGGTGTAGAGGCCCATAAAGTTGTGAGACGTCGAGGCTCCCACATTTTCTCTAGACCACACGACTCACAGATGGCGGTGAGGTTGTCAGCCTTAGGCGCCGGCCTCCCTTTACCCACAGGAAGATTCCTGGTACTCATTTCTGTTAGAGGCTGAGTCGACCCCAGGGCCATAGTGCGGCTGGAAGGATTAGGTCAATTAAAAAACCAAGTGGTGTCATTGGGAATCTAACCCACGACCTTCCGGCTTGTAGCATAGTGCCTCAACCAACCACGCTACCGCGTGGCCTCTATATTCTATGAATAATATTCAAAAAATATTACGAAACACAGGAACTGTAACGAAATTTATGTTATTAATGATCACTAATATGTATCCACATTATAAATATAATTCAATACGAGTGATAGATTCCATGAAAATTTCCTGACGATGATCCAGCTGGATCGAAACACGTAGGAAGTATATATAATAATATTGGTTTATTTATGAAATAGGTGTATTGACGGCCGTATAATAATACTATATACAATAAATGCTAAAACAACAATAAATTAAATAAAAATAAAACGCAACAAGTTGATAAGGATTATAGAAGCGACAGGAATCCTCCAAGCAAACTGCATTCCTATTAAAACAGCATCAAAATCCTCGAACATACAGAGTGATTCTAAATTATTGTCGGGGTTCCCGTGGCTTTCTCTCGAACAGTGAACCATTTTGTATGACGTCATATTGTCTCCCAAACATCAATGCGGCGAGTATAGCGTAACCAAATATAACTTTTTGATTTACATTTTCATATTCCTTCAGATTTAGTTTTAATTTATCGGTTTGAAAATTATAGGCCACTGAAACCCCAACAATAATTTAAAATCACATTGTATTTTCACTGTTGGCAGTGTTGGTGCCACACTGGTTGAAGGAGTTTCTTTTTTATCGCTTAGTGGAGTCCAACTGGGTCCACTCGGCACGGCGGCTACTGATTGGCCTATTGTAGCCTGCCCCGGGTGATTATGATTATGGAGAATTTGGTGGAATGAGGATTGGCAGGGGAAACCGAAGTACTCGGAGAAATCCTGCCCCAACGCCACTTTGTCCACCACAAATCCCACTTGACCAGACCCGGGATGGAACCCGGACCGCCGCGGTGGGAAACCAGCGACTAACCGCTGGAGCTATGGCGCGGCCCTGGCTGAAGGAGTTGGTCTCATACAGTAAAAATTCCTAACTAATTCAGTGGGTGCAGGAGGACAAAGATTGGCCACCACAGACAGCTTCTTTTCCCCTTAGACTTATTAAAAGGGTATATGCCTTCAAGATGACACCGAGTGAAGGAAAGTGCCCTAAATTTTAAACATTCCACAAACAAATTCACAATTGCAATAAAAATCAGGCTGATACAACCGACTATATACATAAATTTGCAAATGTTCTTGTGTGTATCAAATTTATCTGAATCTGAAAATGAGTGCTTGACAATAATGACAACATCAACAACAACATCAACAACAACACCACCATCTGACATTCTAGCGCCAAAACGTACCTTCTAGCAGTTTACCCACAGCTTCGTCCAAAGGTACACCTTCCTTATCGGCCACGGCGACGTCAGCGTTTGTACTTGTGGGCGGGGAACCTCCCGAGTCCGGCGCCGTTGTGTTCTTGTACATCGCGGTCCGGGCTTCACTGCACTTCAAAACACACAACTTCTTCCAGCACTTTCTTATTTGTTCACTGACAGATTATTTCCCCATCTCTAGTGACAGCTGCAAGTTTCGACGTTGGTAACACTGATGATACTGCTAGTAGTATAATTTGTTTTCTGTGAGGTAAGTCAAAAATTTGCTGAAAACTGGTGACTCCATTGCCTAGGGGAAACCCTGTAAATAATGAGAGATAATCATTATTTTTTATTTTATTTCGTGTAATGCATTTTAGTTTCATAGGACTCGCGGCAAAAGAACACCGCGGCGGTCCGGGTTCGATCCCGGGTCTGATCAAGTGGGATTTGTGGTGGACAAAGTGGCGCTGGGGCAGGTTTTCTCCGAGTACTTCGGTTTTCTCTGCCAAACTTCATTCCACCAATTGCTGCACAATCACCCTCACCTATCATCTGGGGCTGGTACAATAGGCCAGAAGTGGCCGCAGTACAAGGGACTTAGTCCCACCCCACTAGCAATAAAAAAGAAAAAAGGTAAAAAGAAAAGGTAAAACTATCCGTGTAATAGGCCCTCGAAGTCCATAGAGTTGTGAGACGTCGAGGCTCCCACATTTCCTAGACAATCGGCACACACATGTCGGTAAGGTGTGATTGGTCCATCATAGTCCGTCACACTAGCAATATTATAAAAGTTAAATAATTCCGTCCAGTGTGACTGATAAAATAAATAATATAAAAAAATATTACGAGTAAAATAAAATAAAAAATAAAAAAAATAAAATAGATAAAATTAAAAATAAAAAACACTTTATCAGTCACACTGGACGGTGTTAATTAACATTTATAAAGTCGGTAGGTATGTAAGTCTTACGCGCCGGCTGCCCTTTACCTGCAGGAAAATTCCTGGTACTCATTTCCGTTAGAGGCTGAGTCGACCCCAGGGACATAGTAATTTACAATGCATAAATAATTATACAGTCACTCCTTGTTATAAATGTGACTTCATCTTAATGCGATCAATTGTAATTTAGATTGCAGAAAGTTTTCTGGCCAATCGTGAGAGGGGGTAGATTACTGTACGGGTTTGTGATGACGAGTACGAGAGAAAAAGAGAAAATTATGTTCGATTCATGTAATCTCTCCCTCTGTGACATAAGTAAACAGAGGGATATTTGTTTGCCTGTAACGGTCCTTTGATTTTCTTTCTGATACATACTCGAAGATCCCTGAAGAAGTCAGTTTCGTAGATAATTACATTAGTGGGTGAGACAGTGATTTTGGACTTCGCCGGTGGGTTACGAGTGACGAGAGTAGCAGCTGGACAGTGGTTGCAACTACATAATGGAAGGGAAGAAAGGCGGGTATAACCCACACACTCACTCACAGAGCTGAGCCCTTCTTGAGAAGCCGCCAGTTGTGCAGCTATTCAAGACCTCCCCAGCACTCTATGGAACCCGAAGGTTCATTGTCGTGTTCACAAGAGCCCTCCAGTGGTCCCTATCCTAAGCCAGATTAATCCAGTCCATACCACACCATCCTGTCTCTCTAACATCCATTTTATTTTTAGCCACCAACATACGTCTTGGTCTTCCTAGTGGTCTCTTTCCTTCTGGCTATCCTACCAGTATCCTACATGCATTCCTCTTCTTCCCCATTCGTGCTACATGACCTGCCCATCTCATCCTCCTTTACTTTACCATTCTACTTATACTTGGAGAAGAGTACAAGTTATGAACCTCCTCATTATGCAGTTTTCTCCAACCTAGGTCTATGGATTGGGCCCATATCAGTACCGTCCTGAGATAGAATTCCGTCTCCGAAACGTCGTGTTTCAAACAAAAAGATGACAATGGAAAATGACCATAAACACTAGATTTTGAGGCACTGTGCTACAAGCCGGCCGATCACAGTGGCCGCGCGTTCTGAGGGATGAACCGCCTTCGCCCTCTTATATACTGGGATCGTGGGTTCGAATCCCACTCAAGGCATGAATGTGTGTGTTCATTTATTATGTGTTTATGCTGTCCTGTGTGTAAGGTAGCGGCCTTGCGATGGGTTGATCCCCCGTCCAAGGAGTCCTACCGATTATAAGATAAGATTATGAAACTGAGAAAAACGGCCAGGACCCAACAGTGATGCATGAATGAAATTAATTTATGACACGCAATTTAGGTTCCAAAATAATGTTGTAGTGCCTAAAAACATATGTGAAGGCCATTTGGATTTTTCACAAATTTAGACAAGAGTTCGCCCCAAATTACTCCGAATTAATGAGGTCTTCTATCTCTCTATCTATCTCTCTATCTATGGTTCTACAGCCCTTTGTTGGACCTTGGGCGTTTTTCAGCACTCCTTGGACGGGGGATCAGCCCGTTGTAAGGAGGCTACATACACACACAGGACAGCACAAACGCAGAATAAACGCATAAAGACATCCTTGGCTCAAATGGGATTGGAACCCACGATCCCAGCGTTCGAGCGGGCTTAGACTGCGAGGCCGGGCACTGTGCCCGGCGGTGAGGTCTCGCCGTAGTGGCATATAGCTAACGGGCCAGGTATGAAGACGAGTTGGAGAACGTCGCATGGCAGTGATAGGGGCCGTGACGTATCAGTTCTCGTGTTGACAGAGGAGTGTCACAGTCGCCCCCGCTTGATATGTCAACTGTACAGTAGGCAATTATTTGCACACGGAATATTAGTACCCCTTCGTTTTAGCCGGCCCACACTTTTCTTCCTGGCACGCTAAACACTCTCCATAAATGTTAAGTACAGTACGGGCGAAGTTGTCCCTGCGCTTAATTAAGCACTATGCCATGAAGACGTATGGGGCAGTTGAGGTACAGCCTTACCTTTCCTGACCTCGACACTAGATGGAGGCGAGTGGTCAGGCCGCTTTAACCCCGGGTAAAGAGCCCCCGGTACGCACTGGGCAGGCGGCTGGGTTGGGCCACAGAGTCGGTCTGAACGACGCGGAGAAAAGATAACTTTCTTTCCCCTGGAATCAAACCGCGGTCGTCTAGCCCGAAGTTCGTCACTATACCGAATGAGCCATCGCGGCTCCCTTTACATTGTCATGTGTCCGGGTTCCCGTGACTAATAACGAGTTCTGGATTGGATGATTTTATTTATTCGCACTGCTATTAAAACCAATTATGACAGCTCAAATCAGTCACTGCCTAAGACTCGCTCCACTCCTTACTGGACTACGAGTGTCTCCTCTTCTGCGTGACTGACTTAGTTCTGATTTACGTGTTGGTCACTTCTTCAGCTTCCACTGTCCGCTAGTTAACACTCCACAGCTGAACACTCAGCTACTGAACTGCCTTCTCAACTCTCTTTCGCCTGACGAACGCGTTTCACTTGCGGCTGAACTAAGGATGAAAGAAGAACGAAGACTGAATGAATCAGTCACTTGACCTCCCTTTATAACTTCGGGGCGGACCGAATAGAGATCACCATCTCGAACAGTTTCTCTGTTATTCTGTGTTATCCTAGCCAGCCGTTGCCTAGCAGTGGAATATTCCGGCTTTCAGGAGTCATATCACAATATTTTTGTTGGTTTTTAAATGATGGTGTCAGTAGCTATAATTGATAGCGTTCCATTTTAGGATGAGAGATGAATGATGTTTTTGAAAGGATTTACAAACACATTTCATGACGTAATCTACGTACTGTTCCAGCAATTGAGTGGAGGGACTGAGGTAAACCATGAAAAACTTAGGTCAGGATGCCCGGTGACCCGGGCAGCATTCGAAGCGGACACCTCCTGCATATGGATCCACGCCGTACTAGTGTGGGTACCCGCTCAGTTAAAACATGAGCTCATTACATCACGGTGGTGTAGGGCGACGTAAACGTTAAGCTCCTTACGGTCTGTGCATTTTGAATTTCACGGTCGTTTGGTTGTAACTTTATGATTCTGCACCAAATTCTCGGGTTATTCAAGGTCGGTAAGTCTGCCTGGTGCTGTAGAATAACTCCATGAAATAGAGATCATCTTTTGAAGCTAATAGTTGCTCAGCCACTCAAGTAGTTCCCAGCAAATGAACCCTAAAGTTGATTACCGTGGTCATGAGACCTCCGCCAGTTGTCTCTGCCCCCAATCAAATCAATTCGTGCCCAACATTTTCTTTAAGATCAGTTTCAATGTTATCCTCCCATCCACATCTCAGTGTTACAAGCGGTTCATTTCCTTCATTTTTCCTACTAAAATTCCGTATGCATATCTGTTCTCTGCAATGTATGCTACATGCCATACCCTCCTACATTTGGGCATCCTCACAGGTTATGAAGCTCCCCGTTAAGCGGGTTCCTCCAACCTCCTAATATTTCATCCATTTTAGATTCAAATTTTCTCTTCAGGGCCATATTCTCACGCGCCCTCAAATACTTTAAACACAACTTAATCATTTAAAGGATATAAAGACGTCTATCTTTTGGAAAAAACGTCGTAAAGTCTGTTGAAAATCCCAGAAGATAGAACTCTTCATAACCACTGCTGTGAAAACTCCATGTTCTGCATTAACACAATGAACATTTAAAAAAAAATCACAAGGGGACCGATAAGTTAAATATATCGCGAAATTTCGTAAACATATGAATTTTGAGTGATATGAAGCTGCTACAGACAGAATTACGTGTGTGTGTATGTGGTTCTGGTGAGCTCACGCGGCTGTGCTTGTGAGTGACTGCAAACAGCCTCATGTCGTCGGACAATTCAGCGCCATTACAGCGCGGTGTCTTCCGTTTCGCACACGTTGCCTTTTACAGCATAGTGTTAACTGTATGTACCACCTGCTCTAACAAACCACAACTCTACAATCTGCTCACACAGTGTATTTGTGTGTTCCGTATGGTTCTCACAATAAACAGCGACTGTTTCCCTAAACAGCATTAACCGGTTGGGCTTTGTAGCGGAGACGTAATGTGTTTCCTGTGAGGTACGGACTGAATTGCTATATATTCTGCCCACACAGTGTATCTGTGTGTTCCGTGTGATTCTCACAATAAACAGCGACTGTTTCCCTAAACGGCATTAACCGGTTGGGCTTTGTAGCGGAGACGTAAAGTGTTTCCTGTGACGTACGGACTGGATTGCTATATATTCTGCCCACAGAGTGTATCTCTGTGTTCCGTACGGTTCTCACAATAAACTGCGACTAATACAATTCGTTATGCTAATTTTAAATTATAATAATAACAATAACAGAACGCCCCACA